GGGGGGTTGAGGTTACACCCTTGACCTGTGTATATAATGGCCCAAAAAGGACTAAAAAGTCAATGGTCTACATCAATGTCGACGATACAGAGAACAATCAACAAAACAGAAAAAACAAAAATCAAGTCCTCATAAATGATCGTCCTGGTCAGAGTGACCTGGCATGAGGTCCAAAACGACAGTCTAGTCAGGGTCAGGTGGTGGCGGTCGTCCGAATCTGAAGGATGGGTACTCTAGCTGGTCCATCTGAATGAGCGTCCGAAGCCGGAGGGGAATGTCCTCAGGATGAAGGGTGCGTCTCTGGGGTATAGATGCCCCCGTGCTAGCAAGAAAATCAGCGGGCCGATTCCCCTCTCGAAATATGTGTGAGACCTGGTAATGGATCGAGCGGAGGGTGTCTCTGATGCGCATAAGGGGATGCTGGATCTGCCACGAGCCCTGGTGGCCAGAAGTCAAAAGTGTGATGACAGCTGCAGCATCCATCTCTATCCAGATATTGGAGGAGATCGAGGCGACAATCTCAAGACCAATCTAGAGCGCCTGAATCTCTGCATCATAACTCGAGGAGGCCCGGAGAGGCCCATGGAAGGCTGAGATGAGTGCCCCACCGTGATCCCTAATCAGGCCCCTCTTCCAGCAGTTCCGGTATGTCTGTCGAGTGCGCCATCAGTGTTTAGCTTAACCCAAGGGGCCTTGGGTTTCAGCCAAACAACGGTCCTAGGTCGTGGGTGTTGGACAGGTAAAGAAGGTGGTGACCTCAAACGATAGGGCGGTGTACAACCTGTCCAGTCTCTCATCGTGAGTCTAACTTGAACTCCTTCCATTACTTATAGTGGGGCAGCTGTGAGTAGTCTAGGGCTGCTGAAAAACCCCAAGAAAATGGGGTTGGTTATAGATATAGAATGACTTAGTCTTGGTATTTAGCATGCATGGGTGATATTTGAAAAACTAATTCCATGTACGGCCGAGAGGAAAAGTAGATATAACTATAGCACATATAGCACAAATATATGCAACATGCAACAAAATATTCTAAGACATGGAATTAATACACAATATGTATTACACCAAAATTTAACTAAGGCACATAATCACATCAGATAATCACTATGACAATAATACAATTAATCACATTACTAAAATAATTTAACTAAGACAATTAAATCATCAAATAGGAAATTAATTCAATTAACCCAAAAACATAATCAAGATTCTAATTTTAAAGTCGAGCAATTGCAACGTGATCAATGAAAATAAAATTGGACAAGTTGGGAATATGATTTAAGAGCCTCATTTAAATAACTCTCAATTTATTGTTTTATGCAGTTGAGAATGAAATAAGTATTGATAACGTATTTAGGCGTTCTTGTAATTGCAATCTTATTAATATCGTCCACTCGTACGCTTCCCTACATCAGTTGGTGTCAGAAGTCAACACAATTCAAGATGTTGCCATGGAAGGACGACATCGACGGGCGTGATGCCACCATTGAGTATTCCGGTCTACAAGCTATGAGTTTCGGCAGTAGATCAATCAATTGGATCGTTGGATTGATGATCTTTTGACAGGGATCGAAGAAGTTCGTCTTACGATTAACAACATGGTTAA